CCTCTTTAATACGGACACCAAAGGGACAGAACCAAGTGTCCGCTTTACAGAGGTGTCCGTATTATTGAGGTAATGAATGTACGATTTTTGGCATTTCTGGGACCAAACGAACCGTCCGTAACAGAGAGGTGTCCGTAGGGAGAGGTTAAACTGTAAACCCAAGGCGATATTTGTTACCTCCCAGCTTCTTGTTGTAAAGTAGATCAAACTTCTGGTGGCTCTCTCCAGTTTTCCATAAAGCTTATTCATCCTGTACATAACAATAAAACAATTCGCTGTTGTATGAAGTTTTTCAATAGTTGTTTCACCTTTCAACGCAAGGAACCCATTTTTTGCTCCCTTTCACAAGACGTTTCTGCTAAATCAAAAAATTTAATTCGAGCGTAATAGAGAAGAGAAGTGATAACGTCAGATAAATGAAGGAATGTAATTGGGTTAGCATATTCAGAAAGAACTAGACGAAAAGGCCCACATTGCGAAAAAATCAGCCTGTTAGTGCAAAATTTGTGGGAAGATAATAAGCACCGTTATGCTCTGATGACTCCATATAAATGCCTGACTAATTTATACCTTACGAAAATAAAGTACGAAGACGACGGCAACGGGGACTTCGAAAACACACTAGGGAGCTTTAGCATCGACGAAAGAGAAAAAAGAAAGAAAAATTCGTCGTCGCCTGTTTACGTCCTCAATAAAATATGAACATAGGCATTTTCACATCGTAGTCCTGCAGTGACGACAAAGAACTGTACAAAAAAGAGTGATTCTCGCGCAGAGTTGTTGTTGTTTTTTTTTACTTATCTAAACCTATTGCTTTTTTGACGTTCTCGTTGCCGTCGCTACAGCTCCCTAACAGGCTTAGGAAGCAAACACAACTCCGCACGTGCATTAGGCTTTTTTGGTACATTTCTTTGCCGTCCTTGAACAATTACGATGTGAAATGCTCAGATTTTAAATTTATTTAAGAAAGGGAACGGCAAGGTGAGAGATTTTACTATCTCTGTCTGAACTCGGACGCGGTCCCTTCTCTTCAGCTCCAACCTAAAATTTCCCTTCTTTTAAGTAACTAGGGCGAATTGGATGAACCGCGAAAAAGGTGAAAAGATACGGAGTCTACTTTATAGTGACGTATTCACTGGGATCGCCGTTGTAGGATCGTAAGGTCTAGCGAAAGCACTCCAAAAAACTTGTATTTTACTTAAACAAAAAAAATGAAATTATTACAAATTGTTGCTTCTCATTTTATTTTATTTTTGATTTGTTGGTAAAAGACGGAACTTCGTATCGATAATCGTCCAATTCGGACTCAGTGTAGTGATACGATGATTAAGCAAAACCCTTATTAATGTTTCTTAATCACTCGAACGATTGCAGACCGAATAGGCCATTTCCGAGTTGTACCGAGGCCTCTGTTACAAAGCGAGGCTAAGTACAAGTTCCAGTGTATTGATACACTGGAAACCCGTTAATACAGTCACCAATGGGCCAAAAAAATTCGGCGGTATCAACGGGGTAGCGGTTTTAACGAGGGTTTTTTTTTACAAGGAAATGTAGGGTCGTTTAACCGGGCGGCCAAAAAAAGTGGCCGTAATGACGAGGTGACTGTAAGGCGGGGTTCCACTGTATACATTTTATCATACAGAAAATATACATTAACTTAAACCTTTGTGCAACATATGTACGCTAGACTTCACATTATTAGTAATTAACGAACAAACGAAAACAAGTAAAATGTAATATGCGAAGAGGAAAGCTACAAACTGAACTCAAGTTAATTATTCATTATATTAAATAACATATGAATTTCAACATAATGCCGAAAGGAGGGTGGGGGGGGGGGGGG